GGGGGGGGGGACCTGCCCAGAGTCGCTAGGAGCTGGGCAGCATATAAATTTAATAAATTATTACGATAACCGCTTGATCCACTGCAAGTACAAAAGTAGTGGGCCTTAGATAGCGATGCCAAGTCTACCATCTTGCAGATTTTGACCCCCCGCTTTCCTTGCTGTTTGAGTGGGCAAAAGGCAAGGGAAGAATAAAAGTGCTGCTACTTCCCACCCTGTCCTTATGCCCTGCTAAAAAAACCCCACTCCTATGGGTGTTTTTTCCCTTAAAAACAAAAACCTGCAGAATCGCTCAGCTGCAACTGTTGCGTCTGTCAGCCCTTAAGGCCAAGGGGCACAAATCTGAAAGAACAAACAAGACGTTGAAAGCAGAGAAGGGGCCTCGGAGGACAGAGGAAGAGCAGCTACCAAGACAGTGGCCAGATAAGGGGGGCTTGAGCCTGGCCAAGAAAGTAACGTGGAAAACGCCTCAGACAAGCCCCTCCCTAGTTCACATGAAGGTAAAGGGAGGGAGGGGGAAACCCATCCAGGTTTGCGAGATCCTGTTACTACAGCTTTACAATGAAAGCAGTGCTGACCTACATGGCCTTGGTCTCTTAGTCTGGTCTACCTTGCTGGGCTGGCACACCATTAGGTAAAGACCCAAGGAAAAGTTAAAAGGAATGCCTCTGAAATCTTGACCGCTTTACAATTTTTGAGGACGGGGATTGAGTCTAAGGAGAAAAATTGAATGGAGAAGGGCTCAGGGGAGAAGCAGAAGCAGGAGCAGAGAACCAATGTTGACAATGGCCAAACATTTCAGGCTCCCAGGCTGCCCTACACAATCCAGGTATCTTTCTCCGGACAAAAGCGTCCTGAGCCACAATTCAGGGTCCGACTCTGATTCTGACCGCGTTGCTCCAGCTGAGCCTGTGGAATGTCAGCCTCAGGAACCATTAAGCCAGGATGCATCTGAGGCTGATCGGCCACAGGCCTCTCCCGATCAGCTGGAGCCGTCGGATGACGAGGCGCGACCCCCAAGCCCCAGATCCAGAGGGGTGCAGAGTGGCGTCAACCCTTGCCGGACAAAGGGGGAGGCCTGAATCACGGCAGCCAGCTGCTGGCGGAGAGACCGACGTCGCTCGCTCTGCCTTCGGTCTTGGCTGGAAAACCAGAGTTTGAAAACCGAGCTTGGGTCTTGTGTGTATCCTTATTTATCCTTTATTGAATTCCTGACTTCTGGACTGGGTGACCACCCGATTTGGCGTCGTGGCTTTTGGAACTGTAACTGGACTACGCTTTTGCTTCTCAGATTACAGACGGTGCTTTACTTGCTCAGTCTTCGTTTGCAACTTGTCTGCTGTTACCTGCTTCTGCTCCTTGGCAACTTGAAACGGAACAAAAAGTGAGTTAAGAGCCCCTCTGATTTGCTCAAGAGCCTTTCAATGGGACAGGGGCGTCCTCAAAAAGTCTAGAGGGCGGCCAAGATGGCGCGATCAAAGCTTCCCATTCATACGTGTTGCACATAAAAAAGGCAGAGCTTTAATAGGGCCGTCCTCTTGACCTTTTGACCACACTGTGTGGACCCCCGTGATGGGGAGCCTCAAAGTCTCTTCCCTTCATGAACTGCCTGGCAGCCAAACATCAGGGATCTGCAAAACTGAGTGGCCTGCCAAGAGCCCCCTTACCCGAAAGGGCCAACCCACCCCCTGCAATAAAATCGGCGGCAACTCCTGCGCAACTTAGGCTCGGGCCAGAGCTGATCCCTCGTCCTCAGAATCCCCCTCGCTGGTTGCTTTCAGCTCCCTGGAGTCTTCAGGGTCCTGGCAGGTGCCAGAGTGCCCCTTCCGAACAGCCGCTGTGCCCGTCGAGAAGCCCCTGAAGGCTGAGAGGGGGCTGGAGGAGAAGGGGCAGCTGAGGCTGAACATGCTGCTGCTGCTGCTGCCGGTACTCAGGCGGGTCTCTTCTCCTTCCAGGAGTTTCCTGGGGAGGAAGCAGCAGAGGGAGCGCCCAGGTAAGACACACGTGTGCTCAGAACCCTTCCATGACCCTTCTCCCTGGGGGAGTTGTGCTGCAGCACCGCCCTCGGGGAAGCAGGGCTTGCAACAACGCCAGAAGCATCCACGGAAGGACCTGCGGTGGTCAGGAAGGAGCATCTGCCCGATCCCCCAGCAAGTCTGTACTTCCACAGAGGCCTCCTTGACCCCCAGCTGGGGAGAGTGACAAGGGGGAAGTGGACTACAGGGGGAAACTGGGGGCCCTCCCACCAGCCAAGAATCTTTTGCCCGTGATTCCCTTCTTCCAGCTATTCTGCCACTGTTTAATGTTGCAGCTGGAATCCAGAGGCTCCCTTTATGGAGAAACAGCTGGCACATGGAGGCTGGGTCCACAAGACCCAACTGGTTTGGGGATGGGGAGGCTCACTGATTTTGGAATTCATCCCCCCAGGGCAGGATTCTATCTTCTAATTCACACCATTGGAGATAATCATTTCAGCACCAATATATTATGGGCTGGCCTTGCCCAAACCCAGTCCCTATGTCCCCCAACTCAACACCTGCAGGAGCCTGCGTGCAAGCTTTGCAAACAACTGCTGCGAAAGCCACCCCCCCCAAAGAGGCAGCTGCTGTGTGGGATCCTACCTGTAAGCCGCTATCTCAATATCCAGAGCCATCTTCACATTCAGCAGGTCTTGGTACTCCTGGAGGTGGCGTGCCATCTCCCCCTTGGTCGTCCGCAAGGCAGTTTCCAGCTGGTCAACGGTCTCCTGAAATAAAGTATTTCTGTCCTTTTACAACTTTTACTACTCTGTCCTTTAAAGAGCTGGTCAGCCCAACGAACTGCCCATCTCCAAGAGGTTATGCTCTACGTCTTCTTAAGAGGAGGTGGAAAAGTCAAGGATTGAACATGGTTGTCATTAGGAGGTACCCTGAGGTAAGTGCCATCTCCAAACCATTCAAGAAAGGAAGTGTACAAAGGCCAAGGAGAGAAGGCAACAGACCTAAACAGACCTCTTCTCATTGCACACCTTGATAAGGAGGGACCAACACTAGATAAACAGGAACCATCAAGGAAGGGACCGTACCCCAGCCAAGGAGAGGACAAGTCCCCATATATAAAAAGCCAGAAAACTTCCCTCCCCACTGCATGGGCGATGCCACCTAGCTGGGCAATGAAACGTCTTCTGGAAGAGAAGCTCAGGGAACGTCAAGGAACTGGAGGGAGCGCCTGGAGGTGAGCCTGGGTCACCTGGCGTCTTAAGAACTGAATCAAGAGCAGGAACTAGCCCCTCCCCTCAGAAGGGGAGTCAAAAAAGCCACACCTGCCTCGATAAACCCCCATCTCTTTTTTTACGTGCATCACACATTTTAGAGAGTAAGGAAGACCCTGACGGACACGGGCAAGAGCCACTACCTAGGCAAAGGGGCTGAAATATTTTGTAAGCTCTGGAAAACAGGACGATATTCAGAATATAAATATTCGCGTATAAAAAGACGTGGGGGGGGCGGGAGAATTCGGCACATCAGACTTGCACAATTCTGTCATTACAGCCAATCTCAGTAAAGGGTTTTAGCTTTCCTGTGGAGCCGATTTCCTGGTGCGGTCTACCCAGTGGGGCTGACATGCATGCAACATAAATAAAAATGGGGCAGAACTCTGTGTGTCCACCAACTTGACTTGTTTTACCTCTCCCCATAGATGTCCCTGGAGAAAAGCTTTTGTAGTTTGTATTATTCTAGCACTGGGGGGGGGGGGTGCTGGTTATAACAATCATACAAATCACATATCGCGCACAACAGTTGAAGAAGTCCCGGAGTTCCTTCAAATGCTCCTTTTCTACAAAAGACGTATGGCAAGCTTCATAGCTCAGAAAGGCCACTATTTTTGCAGATTCTGTCCTCAAAATTAATCTATTTGGCATCTGCCCTGCCTAACACCCTCCAAATGGGTTAGGATGGCAGTTCTCATCTCCTGCAACCAGCAGATGCAATACGAGGGGTCGCTGGGCCGCCCTTGCCGCCCTCTTTGAGCATCGCAAGGTGTGGTGTTGCAGCTGCTCCCGGGCCGGCTCGGCATCCGGGACTGCGGATCTGGGCCGGCAGAGCAGATTCCGGCTGATCTGTCGGTTCCCAGCTCGAAGAAACATGAGGACTATGAAGCTGGCACTTATCATGCCTTAACACAACCCAGAGGTTCCCTCCAATCTCTGTGATCCCATGGCCATGCGGGTTTCTTGGGACCGTTATGAAAGTAACTGAAACTGAGTTTATTGTCGGCCACCGGCCAGCAAAGTGGCAGCAACAATAAAAAGCAGCGCATAAAAGCAGGCTCAAATACAGCAGGAGCAGTAAAACCACCACACGGATCAAATTTACAAGGATAACAAAACAACGAAAGAGAACAGAACAAGGCAAAATAAAACAGATAAGATAAAAATAAAATGAAGAAAGGAGGACTTCCTGGCGACATCTTTCCAAGATTCTCAGCCCGCTACAGAAGTAGTTTGCTGCCGCCACTTTGGGCCATTTCTTTCCAGCTCCCCACTCCAGCCTACAGCTGTGGCTTCCCACTCAAATACAAAACTAGGCTGACCCCGCTTAGCTTGCAAGATCAGCCAAGCCGAGCTAGACCTGCCACCTGCCCAGGTCAACGCGCTTCCCAGCAGGCCCTCGGAGGCCCCGGGTGGCTTTCGCCGCCGGGCTCGGCCGCCTCGCTGCCCTCGGCCTCACCCGCAGCTGCCCGATCTCCTGGCCGCTCCTCTCCTCCGCCTCCTGCAGCTGCCGCTCGAGAGACTCGCTGGCGCTGCGCAGGGACTCGATCTCGATGTTCTGGGCTTGCAGCTGGCGGCGATACTCGGAGATCTCCTCTTTCGCCTGCCGGATGCTGTCGCTGCTGCGGGCCGCCTCCTCGGTGAAATTGGCAAATTTGGATTTGTACCACTCCTCTGCGGACTGCTGGTTTCTGGCCGAGAGAACTTCGTACTGGGTGCGAATCTCCTTCAGGGCAGATGTGAGGTCTGGCTTGCTTGTGTCAATCTCAACAGAGACCTGCAGGGGAAGAGCCAGGAGACACGCCGGTTTCCCTCTGGGCCTCCCTTCTGCCAGAAGAGCCCAAAAATTCAGGGCCGGGCAAGCCAGATGACCGCCGAGCCAGTTTCCACTGCGTGCGCCCAGGCACTACGGGGCTGCCAGAAAAAGCAAGCACGGGCAACTGGCAGCCAGGGGCCCCCCACACAAAGGAAATATGCCTAAATGTGTGTAAACCCACAAGAATTAAAAAAGCAAACCCTCAGGTCAGGGCCATTCCAGTAGTTAAGAACTGCCTGCTAAACAAACAGGTCAGCCAGACATATTCACGGCCCTCACCCAAAAATCAAAAACCTGAGCATCTTCCTTGCCATCTTCTCTCCAGCCCTCACCCAAAAATGATCTGAGAGAGATCTCCGGGGCCGGGAAAGCAGTAGGAATATCTCAGGAAAAGGTCAGTTGGCCCTTCCGACTCGCCTTCTGGGAAAAAGAGGTCCAAACAGCCCTCAGAAACAGAAGGGAATCTCTGGAGCTCAGGGTTGACCTGTGGAGTCCTTGGGGCTCTCTGAGGTTGGCTCTTTTCTTGCAGACGTTTCATTACCCGGCTAGGTAACGTCAGTGATGGTGAGTGTGGGGTTGGCTCCCTGTTAACATACAGTAGCTTGCCCTGCCAGTGTTGGTGGGGGTGTTTTCTCCTTGGCAGGTCCTTGATTAGGGCGTTGTTTTCTGCTTGATTGTTCGTCTGGTGTTAATCCCTGCTTATCTGGGTGTTGGCTGCTGGAGGGGTGTGTTCTGGTCTTTGTTGCCTCTTTTGAATGGTGTGTAAAGGTGGGGTATCCATAAGCTACTATTTATAAGCAAGCAGCAAACCCCACCCTCCCTCACACTGACGATGCTACCTAGTGGGTCACAAAATGTCTGCAAGCAAACCTCCGAGCTCAGAGAGCCCCAGGAACTCCACAGCCCCAGAAACCCTGCCTAATGAATTCACTAAGCAAGGAGTGCCAGAGTTTGGGCTTACTCCTCTTCCAAGATTCTGTTCATCAGCCCCTTACCTTCTTGACCATAAACCCAGCCAATGAGACTCAAGGGCATCTGGAGCAGTTGAAAAAGTGAAGATGGCAGTCGTGACTATATGGCCATTGGCCACCATCTCGACCTTTTGGACCCCCCCCCCCCCCCATGGATGCTCCTATTCATCGTGACTCTTTCTTGCTGGGGTTGGAAGCTTGACAAAAATCCCCAGAGGACCACCAACCCCTGGCCTTTTGTAGCAGCTTGCTCTACACACAATTTATATGACACTGGTTACAGCCAAGGTGCAAGACGTTATTTCACCATCTAAGAACACCTCAGCAATATCTAGACCAAGGATGGACAACCCAGAAGCCTGGGGCTGCAATGCCCCTGGAGGGGATGGGGCATTATTTTCACCCTTTGCTGGTGATTTGGGGCAGGGTTGAGAGGCAGGATGGATGCCTTAGGACTTGTGTGGGGGGGAGCAAGTTAACTATTTAATTGGTCAATATGAGAAACTTGGGGTGTGGTGGGTTTTTAAGGGGTGCAGTGGCTACAAGGCTTTGCTTTCTTCCCCTGGCCTCCAAAGGACAGGGCCGGAGGTTGTCCAAAGCTGTCAGAGGGAGAGGTCTGGAACCAGGCCACAGGCGTAAGATGGGCTCTCTCCGAAGGGCCGATGAAAATGAGCTTGACCCAGGTTTGATAAGCAGGATTAGGTGGGGTTTAAGCTGAATCCTGTGGGGATGGAAACAAAACCCTGAGGTCAGGATCTCAGATAAGGACTTGCCAAAACTGTGAGTGTTGCTGAAATGGGGCTTTTTAAAACCCACATGGAAAAGTCAGAGGGAGACTCAAAACATTCCCTGTCTTCCGCCTGTCCCTTTGTGCTTGGAGCATGGAAATACGCCAGAAGACCTGGAGCTCTTTGTTCAAAAAAGCGGGTCTAATTCAATAGGAGGCCTGGTGGGATCACTTCCCAGACTGGACTATAACAAGAAAGGATACTGAAGAAGAACTGGGGGGTGGGGGGAAGGGGATCCAAGCTAAAAGCCCCTAACCCAAATACATCTTCCCAGAGTAAATAAATGAATTTATAGCTCAGCTATAAATCAATTAGACACAAGGAACACACAAGGAGAGAATGGTGCTAGGGTAGGCATGAAAATCCCCCCTTCCCCAAAGGCATTCACCCCTCCCCACATGCCCTTTTGCAAAGGAAAATAAACCAGCAGCCCATCCATAAAACAGAGGCAAGGAACGTTGATGCGGACGTGCTAAAAGGCAGGGACCTTCGGAAAAGAGGCAACTGACATTCTGAAGTCCCTCCGCGAGACTCAAGGAAGGTCCTGCACTGCCAGGACCCAAATTGTTTGCTACCCTGATTAAATGTGTATTGTAATTTGCACAAGTCTTTAAAGAGGGTCTGACACACACCCCCAGACTCATCTTGCCTCCAACACTGATCAATAAATCCACTTATGGTCCAAGGAAGGTGTGCTGGTCTCGGGTTTAAGTAATTCTAACATTATCCTACAACTGAATCTATTCCAAAAGAACTTTTGGCCTCCCAGCTAGGCCAAAGCAGTGGACTGTGATTTCCAAAAGCAAAGTGCACACTTCCTCATAGGGTTGCGCAACTGCAGCAATGGGAAGCTTGAAATACTGTGACATCTCTTGAAAGAGAAACTCTGCTAGACGTGGCCAAGAAAGGGGGAAGTTCTTAAGCTTGAAGGAACCTAAAACTGAGCATAGTCAAACATTTAACCTGGATTTTAAAAAATGGGTTTTAGTACAGCTGGAGCAATGCTAAATACAATCCCATGATGGGAAAAGCAAATGGAAAAAGGAACTAAAAATGAGTGGGAATTCCTAAAAAGGCACACGCTAAAAGGACAGCTGCAAACAATTCCAATGGGAAAAAAGCAGAGGAGGGCAGAAGCCAACGTGGCTACCCAGAAAGTTTAGCAGGGCCCTGAAAACAAACAAGGGGCATAAAATGCAAAGAGGCACAGGGCCTGGTCGCCTGGAGTTGTGGAACTGGTGCCATGAAAGCAGGAGCTCGGAAGCTGAGGCAGTGAAGGAAGCCAAGAATAAGAGAAGGGGGCTTCTCTTGATACATTCAAAAGGAAAAGAAAATAATCAGTATAGCAGCTGATGAATGCCACCAACATACCACCATCAACCAATATGGCAAAAGAATAACAGGTAACAAACTTCACAACTTCTTCAGTTTTTGCTTCCTCCCGCAAAAACTATATCAGGAAATTATGATGCACCAGATGAAGCACCACTGAAGCTGGGAACAGAAGAAACATTGTCATGAATACCTCTTTACTGTGAATTAGCTTCCATCTCCAGAACCAGATGAAATGCATCCCAGGAGACTGAAGGAACTATCTGATGATCTGGCTGAGTCCTTATGAATTATCTCTGAGAGATCCTGGAGAACTGATGAGATGTCAGACAAGTGGAGGAGAGCAGCTGCCGTCCCATTTTCAAAAATAGGGAAAAAGGAGATGCAGCAAATTACAGACAAGTCTGACTTTGATATGTGTGAAGATTCTAGAACAAATCATAAAGAGATCCAGCCATAAGCACTTTGAAAGCAATGTGATAATCGCCAGAAGCTGGTATGGAAGAACAAATCTCAACAAACTTTCTCATTTTTTAAATCAAACGACGTTTTTAATAGTGTGGGTATGCTATAGAATAATATATCTTGCTTTCAGCTAAGCATTTGTCAAGTTGATTAGCAAGCTACTTAAGCATGGGCTAGATGGTTTGACAAATAAAAGAATTTATGTATGCATGGCCCAAAAACTATATTCAGAGGGCTCATCAAATAGGAGAGAGGTATGAAGCTGGACGCTACAAGGATCAGTCCTACTTCTTCAATATTTGCATTAATGACTTGGATGAAAAGGGGGAGGAAATGTGTATCTTTATGTACAGCTGACATAAAGTTGGGTGGAATAACTAATATCCCTGAAAAGAATAATATTCAAAACTATCTTGATAAGGAAATAGCTAAAAGTAACAGAATGAAATTCTGTTCTCTCTCATTTCAGAGTGCAAGACACGAGTCGTGAAATTAAGTTACAGGAAGGAAGATTCCACTTGAGTTTGGGGGAAAAAATCCTCTCAACAGTAAAACACTTTGGTGGTGGGACCAATTCCCAGAGAAATGGTGGGCTTTTCAAGTGGGGGGTAGGCAGCCATTCGTCAGTCTTGATTTAATTGGGCTTCTGGTTCTTAGCACGGTTGGGACTCAATGGCCCCTCCAAACCTAGAATTCTATAGACCTGACCTCCATCTTTCTTCTTATCTCATAATTCTAGATCCCAAAAGGGTCGCCCAAGGAAGCCAAATGGTGGGCCCTTCAGAAACAAGCAATTTATGCAGGGCCAACTTTGCCAGCTTCAAGGTGGATGAAACGGCTCCACCACCCTGGCTGAAGACCACCTCCAGCAACCGAGGGAACTCAGTGTGCCGGCTGGAGAACACAAGGGGGGACAGGGGGACAGAGGCACGTTTCCCAGTCCTGTTCAGGGGCTTCTCCGGGCATCTTGTGGACTACGGCCTGCTCCAATAGGCAGGTTCTTCTTATCTTATTAATGAGAAATAAAACTAAGCCAAAGATTTACACAAATGGTCTGTTAGGAAAGGAAGAAAAGCCGTCCATTGGAAAGTTTCACACACTGCTGTCCTTGTCCCTCCACCTGCCTTCCTTTGGGCGCCCAAGAAGAAGAGAAGAGGAGCCCAAGACAGCCCACAACTGCCTGTGCAGGCATGGGAGACCCGTGGCTGTGCACAGACACTCATCTGGTAAGGTCAGGCAGGCAGCGCGGAACCAGGGAAAAGGAAGGCTGCCCGCTTCCCCAAGCGAACCTCTTCAGAGCAGAAGGACCAACCGTGCAAAGCATCTCGTGGGGGTTCTGCACATGTCGGTGGAGGCCTCGACGATGCAGCTGAAGAGCAGAAGCCCAGCCCAGCCTCTTTGCAACAGCCCTCTCAGGCAGCAGTTCCTCAAGAGCAAATCCTGCTGTTGCTAAGAGCCACGCCAAAGTCCGTAGCTAGCTTTAAAAAGAGAACTGCGCACACACCTTCTTTGTGTCTCACACTGCAGACGGAGCGCCATTGTAAAAAAGGAGCGCAATCTTTTGACCCAGCCAGCTGCTTATTTCCTTTCTCTGATTCTGCATTTCTCATCCAGTAGGACAGGCAGCACCTCTGTGCCCCCCACCAAAAGCAGGCAACCCCAGAATGTTTAACGGGAAGGAATTCTACTCAGCTTCTACACTTCGGCCATACCTGCATGGGGGCGGGGGGGGGGGGGCTGGCCAAATGAGATTTTATCCTGAATCCTGCTTATCCCAAGCACCAAGTGCAGCTGAAAACCCAAACCAGCCACGACTCTGCGGGTGATTTCCAGCTGCTGCAAGAGCGATTTTGCTACTTCCAGCAGGCGCAGTGCAGAGACTCACTTTCACCAGAACACACCACAACAGCCCAACACACTTACCCACTTCACTCTGGGGTATGCACACGAGTGCACAGTGGATGACACTGACGGAGTTTGCACATTACACTGTGCAACTGGGTGGTTGGCATGTATCATGAAGCACACTCAAAAACTGCAGGGGAGGCCTGTAAGTATTGCAGCCCCAAGTATCTGTGAGGGCTTTACGTGACACTCTCGGGTGCCTCCTGCATCCTTTCGGACCCCAAAGCACCCCCCTTCCTCCATCCAAACGTGGAGCAGGGCAGGAGGTGGGAACAGCCCCCAACCTCGGTAGCATCAGAACTGGGGGGCAGCAACCCGCACCCCCGGCTCGGAGACGGCTGCCGCGACCCCCCAGGCCAGCACGGACCGGCGGCGCTCGGCTGCGGCTGGGAATCGCGGAGCTGCGGGC